TAGTGGAAGCGGAAGCGGATGAACCTTGTCGTATGGGAACTTTGGACGCTACAGTCTTCCCCCGAACAAAACGCACGTGCGTTGTATATGAATACAACGCACGGGGTGCTTTGTATTCGTATACAACGCACGTGTGTTATGCTACGAATTTCAGGCACCAACTTCTGAAACGGCCGCCCCAGGAAAAAATGAAGTATGTGCACATAATGCCCTGACCTTTCATACGAGAAGACATCGTTAACTGGAACGACAACCAGAAAAAAATCTACATTATAAAACACACACACACACACACACACACACACACACACACACACACACACTCGGGGGGCCGATACTGGGCCCTTTCTCCACTACTCACCAAATTTGCAAAATGTGAATGAATCTTATGTATGAAAACGGAAGAATACATAGTCACATATGCTGCCTATTGTGCATGTGGAAGGTAGTGGAGTGAGGCCCCGTGCACGTACCATTCGAACAGTCGGCCCCGCAGCTCACTGCGCCTAACATTCGAACAGAGTAGTGGAGTGAATCGACGTTCTTGGAGCATCGCCCCCACCAAGCTCCGCCTTCGCAGCACGCAACGAACATGACCTCCATGCACTATCCCGGTAAGCCAGCAAAACCACCTCTCTCTCTTTTTCACACACACACACACACACAGGGAGAGAGAGCGAGCGAGCGAGCGAGAGAGAGAGAGAGAGAGAGAGAGAGAGAGAGAGAGAGAGAGAGAGAGAGAGAGAGATTTTGCGCGGATCATTTTGAGGAGCGCGCTGTCGAAATCGAGCGTTGCCACATTTGGCGGGGGTTCCTTCTTGGTAGTGGGCACGTACCTGTTGAAATCGAGCGCTGCCGCGCGCTGTCGAAATCGGCACGCACCTTTGTGTGTTGGTGTGTGTGTGTGTGTGTGTGTGTGTGTGAGAGAGAGAGAGAGAGAGAGAGAGAGAGAGAGAGAGAGAGAGAGCTCATACACATATAGATGTGTATAAGAGACAGGCCTAGGAGCAATCAGTTGGCGGACGTTTAAAA